GAAAGAAAGAAAGAAAGAAAGAAAAGAAAAGAAAGAAAGAGAGAAAGAAAGAGTCAGTGACGCAGTTCCAAGCAAGGAGTGAGAAGCCATGGGCTTCTGAGGCCAACCATAGGCTTCAGGGCAGATGGCACTGTTGTTCTGTGGTTGGGCTGTGGGTGGCCTTCAGAGCAGGACCTGCACGGACCCTGAAGTGAGGCCTTCAGTCCCTGGCAAAGCCGACCATTTTCCCCTCTGGACATCCTTCTGGCAAGCAGCATTTGGCAGGTGGGGAGTAAGACGTTTTCCCTCATTGGTTTGGTTGACTCTATTTTGCTTTGCTCCATTGCCTCTTTCTGGGGCAGATGCCAGGATGTGTGGCTCTCTGGCAGACAGCCTCCAACCCTTTGGTTTGCATTGCAGTTCTGGCTGTGCTGAAGTATATCTTAAAAGAGTTAAAAGCCTGGGAAGCCGAATGTATTCTGTTTGGTGGATATTCCATTCAGATGTCTTTTGGGGGCACCAACCCATAGGCACCCATGAGGAAGTAGAAAACGCATGCCAAGGCCCTGGGCACGGTGGCTCACACCTGTAATCCCACCACTCTGGGAGGCCGAGGTGGGTAGATCACCTGAGGTCAGGAGTTTGAGACCATCCTGGCCAACATGGTGAAACCCCGTCTCTACCAAAAATACAAAAATTAGCTGGGTGTGGTGTCAGGCACCTGTAATCCCAGCTACTTGGGAGGCTAAGGCAGGAGCATGGCTTGAACCTGGGAGGTGGAGGTTGCGGTGAGCTGAGATCGCACCACTGCACTCCAGCCTGGGTGACAGAGCAAGACTCCATCGAAAAGAAAAGAGAAGAGAAGAGAAGAGAAGGGAGAAGAGAGAGAAAATAGAGAAGAGAAAAGAGAAAAGAAGAGAAAAAAGAGAAGAGAACTGAAAAGAAAAGAAAAGAAAAAAGGCACGCCAGTCTGATTCTGCTAAAAGTAAAAATAGTAATAAAACAATAATATGGGAGCCAGGCATAGTGGCTCACACCTGTAATCCCAGCTACTCCAGAGACTGAAGCAGGAGGACTGCTGGAGCCCAGAAGTTTGAGGCCAGCCTGGGCAGTGTAGCAAGACTCCAATCTGTTACAAGAGAAAAAAAAAGCAGGCTGGGTGTGGTGGCCTCATGCCTGTAATGTCAGCACTTTGGGAGGCCAAGGCCAGTGGATTGCTTGAGCTGAGGAGTTAGAGACCAGCCTGGGCAACATATTGAAACCCCGTCTCAACAAAAAATGAAAAAAATTAGCTGAGTGTGGTGGCGCACGCCTGCAGTCCCCACTACTTGGGAGGCTGAGGTAGGAGGATCACTTGAGCCTAGGAACTCGAGGCTACAGTGAGCTGTGATTGTGCCACTGTACTCCAGCCTGGGCACTGTACTCCAGAGTGAGACCCTGTCTCAAAAAAGAAAAAACCCGATAATATCAACCTCCAGAATGGTTATCAATGGGAGGAAGTTATCTCTCTTCCTTCTTACTCATAAATTGTGGCCTCAGCTCCCTGGCTGGCCGGGACTGTCATCTTCTGATTCTCCTTTACCTGGAGCAAGTTTATTTCCTGGCTGGATCTTTGCATCTTTGAGTGAGTCTCCTCTGACACCCCTCCTAGCCCAGCCCCCCACCCCCGAGGTACCGCAGGCAAATTGAAAGAATGAACTTCCCCTCAGCTTTCAGATGGGACTAGTAAGGGGTTGATATGTGGGTTGATGTTTGTACAGTTTTTCTCCAGAACAAGGGTAAACACACGTTTTTATACAGGGTCAGATAGTAAATATTTTCAGCATTGCGGGACAGAAGATCTCTGTTGAAACTACTCAATGGTGACGAAAGCAGCCACAGAATGGGTGTGGCTGGGTTCTAATCTAACTTTATTTACAGACATTGAGATGTGAATTTCGTATCATCTTCATATGTCATGAGAGATTCTTCTTCTTTTTATCTTTAAATTATTTTATTTTTATTTTTTGTAGAGATGGAGTCTTGCTATGTTGCCCTGGGTGGTCTCAAACTCCTGGACTCAAACAGTCCTCTTGCCTCAGCCTTCCAAAGTACTGAGATTACAGGTGTGAGCCACAATGCCCAGTTCCTTGATTGTTTTGGGGTTTTTTTTTTTTT